GTTTCACTTTTGCTAGACTTGGAAATTCATTTTTAGACCAAACAAACACACACACACGTTCATCCATTGTCTGTTTTTCAGTAAATTGAAAATGAACTGCTCTTAAAAAGGTATTTATGTGTTATATTTTAGGGCTGTCTTGTTTCTCTGTGGCCTGATAGACTATTGATTTAATTATATTAATGCATTTATCTTGGCAGTTTCACTTTTTGCTAGACTTGGAAATCCATTTTTAGATCGAACTGCAATTTGGTCGAATGTGAGCCCATTGGGTGTTTGGCAGAATTCCTGAATCCCAAGCCGAAATACACCTGAATTATGGACTTGTCGAACATGTTCGGGTGGTCAATGTTCTGAATTCCGCCCATGGCACCAAATAAAGAGATCATTGAAAGGAAAAAAGCTGATTGGTGGTTGGGGGACAGTCACTAAATGTTGATTTTATTTACAGATCAAGGGAGTAAATGGCCAATAGAGTAAAAAAAGGAGTAAAATAAAAAATAAAAAACTATATTGATATATATTTATTGAATATATATAAAATAATAATATATAGATTTTTTGTACTGTAGCACCCTGGGCTGTGTTCAGTGCATTTTGTCATATATACTACGCTCCTAGTCTATAATGAATGTGGCTGCGAGACTCATCTTCCTGTCCGCCCGCACCTCCCATGCCTCCCCCCTCTGTCAGTACCTACATATAGGACTCAACTTAAGATCCTGACACTTACAAATCACTTCACAATGCTGCTCCCACCTAACTATCCTCATTAATACACAAATATGTCCCATCACTCTGCCGGAGACCTACGTCTAACCTCTGTTCGTACTCCTACCTCTGATGCTCGCCTTAAAGACTTCTCTAGGGCTGCATCATTCCTATGGAACACCCTTCCCCTCTCACCCAATTTCCACTCCTTCAAAAAATCTTTGAAAACTTACTTCTTCAGGAAAGCGTATCACTTAAACTGTGAACAGCTTTCCCTCCCCGCACCCTGATTCCTCTCCTGAAATCAAAACAAGACACTAAGCCCTCAGTGAACACTATCCTAGCAACCTACTCTTCTACCCTACCCTTACCTTTTGTGTCACATTACCCCAGTCTCTCTAGCAGGTAAACTCACTGAGCAGGGCCCTCAAGCCCTCTGTTCCTGTGTGTCCAACTCTTCTGGTTACAAATACGCGTTTGTTAGTCCACCCATTGTAGAGCGCTACGGAACTTGTTGGCACTTTATAATAATTATTAATAATAATAACAATAGATGTGTTGGAGTATGGTCCTCTAGTGTTATAGGTCTTGTTGTTGGCTTTGTTCTTTGTGCTTATGTTCTAGCACAGTTTGAACCAAGGTTTTATAGGTGTTCTTCCCATTAATGGGTAGTTTCCTGTTGATCATTTTTTGTTACAGGTTTGACTCAGGGCCAAAATGGGGGATCATTGCTGAGTTCAATATTGTTTCATAATTAGGATATTTGGGCTCCAAGGATCACTATAGGGTCAGGAACACAAACATGTATTCCTGACCCTATAGTGTTAACACCACCATCTAGCCACCCTGGTCCCCTCATGCAGGGCCAGACTGGGGATACAAAGCAACCCTGGAAAAAAAATCTATGTCAGCCCCGCAGCACGGCGTGGGAAAAAAAAGGTGAGTAAAAACACTATTTTTAAACACACACAGATACACACATGCACCATGACAGACACACACATATACCACGACAGATGACAGACACACACATGTCTTGACAGACACACATGTCATGACAGACACACACACCTTGACAGACACACACACACCTTGACAGACACACACACCTTGACAGACACACACCTTGGCAGAAACACACACATCACAGACATACACACACACCATGACACATACACAGTCACACACATACACACCATGACAGACACACACACACCATGACAGACACACACATACCTTGAGAGACACACACATTTCTTAACAGACACACACACACCATGATAGACACACACACACACACACACACACACACATTGACAGACACACACACCTTGACAGACACACACACACACCTTGACAGACACACACCATGACACAGACACATACACCTTGACACAGACAGACAGACAGACACACACACCATGACACAGACATACACACGCACATCATGACACAGACATACACCATGACAGACAGACACACACCATGACAGACAGACACAGACATACACACACACCATGACACATACACAGACACACACACACACTGACAGACTGACACATAATATAGCTACCTGTGGGTGATCGGACAGGAGTCTTGCAGGGCAGACAGCTGGGTCAGGTGTGCTGGCGGCCGCAAGGGGAGCTGGCTGTTCCGGCAGCCGCAGGGGGAAGCTGGATCCTGGCTGTTCCGGCGGCCGCAGGGGGAAACTGGCTCCTGGCTGTTCCAGCGGCCGCAGGGGGGAGCTGGCTGTGCTGCTCTGCTACCCAGTGCACAGCTTAATGATACCGGATATTCCGGCCCCAGTCTCATTAAGTAGCGCACGCGGAGGAGCAGAGCCAGCACAGCCAGCTCCCCCCTGCGGCCAGGAGCCAGCTCCCCCCTGCGGCCGCCAGAACAGCCATGAGCCAGATCCCCCTGTGGCCACCGGAACAGCCAGGAGCCAGCTTCCCCCTGCGGCCGCCAGAACAGCCAGCTCCCCCTGCGGCCCCAGGTCAGCCAGCTCTCTGTCCGGCCCCAGGTGCCGACGGCCCACCTGGAAATTTCCCGGTATCCCAGTGGGCCAATCCGGCCCTGCCCTCATGCCTCCATAAAAATAGCAAAATCTTACTGTATTCAAGCCAGAAGCTGTAGATTTGCATGCTGACATCATCAGAAGTGGTGGCTTGATCCAATCACAATGCTTCCCCATAGGATTGGCTGAGACTGACAAAGAGGCAGATCAGGGGCAGAGCCAGCATGATTCAAACACAGCCCTGGCCAATCAGCATCTCCTCATAGAGATGAATTGAATCAATGAATCTTTATGAGGAAAGTTCAGGAGGAGATACTGAATGTTTGGATGCATTTTAGGCAGCCATGACCCAGGAAGGATCTCTAACAGCCATCTGAGGACTGGCCAGTGAAGTTATCACTAGGCTGTTATGTAAACACTGTATTGTCTCTGAAAAGACAGTGTTTACAGGAAAAAGCCTGAAGGTAATGATTCTACTCACCAGAACAAATTCAATAAGCTGCAGTTGTTCTGGTGACTATAGTGTCCCTTTAACGTTTGAGTTCAGCAAAAATATTATTTTAATTGTAATGTTTAAAAATTAATACAAAATATTATTTATCTTTTAGATCTTTATTTTAATAAGTCATTCATACCATTAATAGGTTAATGATTTTATTATTTGCATATAAATTCTTATGACTTGTAGATGCCATCTGAGATCTTGTCCTAATGGAAAAAAAAGCAACATCAATTAACTAAATAAGAATAATATTAAATGCACAATCCATTAATTCTAATATCAAGGCTTAACCTTTATGACAAACAGATTTATTTTAATATTTACATACACAGAATATTGGAATGACCTAAAAAGAATGGGGGGATGTATATATATATATATATATATATATATATATATATATATATATATATGTATAAATACACATATATTAGGATAAAATGTGATTGCAGGACATTGAACAAAGAAAAGTATCAGATTCACACTGAGGGTGCCCATTGGGTAGCTCATGCACTTAGAAGCACCTAATGTAATTCAATGTGTCTTCAGGGGCCCGCTCATGCACTGCAGCACTTTAACTGCATGGCCAGGTCCCTCTTATACCAGCAGCAAGTTCTGGGAGGAAGTGACTGCTGGTACCTTCCTCCAAGCTAACAATGAGCTGAACTGGAGGGAGAGAGAAGAGGGAGGCACGGACCTCAAGAGACAGCCTCTGACTCTCAACAGCTTCAGCCAACAGACTGTTCCACGGGAAGCAACCCAAAAGTTAGGAAAGTGGAGGACGGTTAAATGTGTACATTGTGACTAGCATGTGTGTCTGTATGTATGTCAACATGTGTGTCCGTGTATCTGTATGTGTATCAGTGTGTCTGTGTATCTGCATGTTTATCAGTGTGTCTGTGTATCTGCATGTGTGTCAGTGTGTGTCTGTGTATCTGCATGTGAATCAGTGTGTCTGTGTATCTGCATGTGTTTCAGTGTGTGAATGTGTGTATATGGTATCAGTGTGTGTATGTACATACATCTCCGCATTCAAACACCAACATTGCACACAGATATATCCTTGCATTCAAACACCAACAATAGACACCCGTACAGTCACACATACTCTATACAAACACATACTTACATTCAAACACACTGTGACAGAGCTCCTGTAGTCTTACTGAGTACCTTCGCACAGTCTGCTTCCCAGCCACTTGCCAGGACCCTGGAACAGTTCAGCCCCAGTCGCTAAGCTTGACTGGGGTCTCTCTGGAGCTCTTTCCTTCCAGGAAGGTATTGTCCCCTCTGCCTATTTCTCTGCAGCTCTCTTTCCAAGCAGGTAGGCACCTCTTTCTGCAATGTTATAGCTCCTGTCTTTACAAAGACACCTGCAGCTCTCAGGCTTAACGCTCTTTGATTTGCCCCTGGGCTTAAGATATCGTGCAGCCAGCCAACAGGTACGACAACTCTGTTACTGTAAACCCTAAAAACCCACACAGAACACGCTTTTCAAATAGAAGCTATCATACACAGCTTGATTTTTACTCGTGATTAGCCCATATGCTCGAGAGATTAAACTTATGGTGACAACTTAATACAAATATAAATAATCATATCATATGGGGTTACACACAGGAACTCACAATAACACCATAACATATTCATAAAGGGGTTAGGAAAACAATAATTAACACAAAATATCTATCCTGCCTGCAGAATTTTCAATATGCAAAACTACCTGAATATGCAAATTAACAAGCCTTGCTATTCAGGTAGTGCATATACACTGAACTCAAAGATCTAAGACTTTTCCTATGTACACAAAATGCCTATTTCTCTCAACACAGATTTAGACAGATTTGTGAACAATATTTGAGAGAAATAGGCCTTTTGTGTACATAGAAAAAGTCTTAGATCTTTGAGTTCAGCTCATGAAAAATGGGGACAAAAACAAAAGTGTTGCGTTTATTAATTTGTTCAGTGTAGCTGTTGCTACCAACAAATGGCGCTGTAAAGCTATCACAGCCAAATCCACCTTGTTGTTTGCAAGCATCAGCAAGACAGGAGAGCACACAAAACATTTAACCACAACCAATTACATTATATACACCCTGCACTTATAATGGACACAGGGTTACTAAAACACAAGAGCAATTCAGGAAACTTTGTAAAGTGTCCTTCTGATCCCAGTGATGGTGACTACCGTCACATACACACAAACACTTCTAGGTGCTAAATACAAACCTGCAAGGATGGGCAAATGGTAGCTCTCCAGCTGGCAAAGCATTGTGCGAGTTGTATGACAGTGTCCCTTTAACGTTTGAGTTCAGCAAAAATATTATTTTAATTGTAATGTTTAAAAATTAATACAAAATATTATTTATCTTTTAGATCTTTATTTTAATAAGTCATTCATACCATTAATAGGTTAATGATTTTATTATTTGCATATAAATTCTTATGACTTGTAGATGCCATCTGAGATCTTGTCCTAATGGAAAAAAAAGCAACATCAATTAACTAAATGAGAATAATATTAAATGCACAATCCATTAATTCTAATATCAAGGCTTAACCTTTATGACAAACAGATTTATTTTAATATTTACATACACAGAATATTGGAATGACCTAAAAAGAATGGGGGGATGTATATATATATATATATATATATATATATATATATATATATATATATGTATAAATACACATATATTAGGATAAAATGTGATTGCAGGACATTGAACAAAGAAAAGTATCAGATTCACACTGAGGGTGCCCATTGGGTAGCTCATGCACTTAGAAGCACCTAATGTAATTCAATGTGTCTTCAGGGGCCCGCTCATGCACTGCAGCACTTTAACTGCATGGCCAGGTCCCTCTTATACCAGCAGCAAGTTCTGGGAGGAAGTGACTGCTGGTACCTTCCTCCAAGCTAACAATGAGCTGAACTGGAGGGAGAGAGAAGAGGGAGGCACGGACCTCAAGAGACAGCCTCTGACTCTCAACAGCTTCAGCCAACAGACTGTTCCACGGGAAGCAACCCAAAAGTTAGGAAAGTGGAGGACGGTTAAATGTGTACATTGTGACTAGCATGTGTGTCTGTATGTATGTCAACATGTGTGATGAGGATCCACCTTTTGCCACCCTTGCGATAGTGGGGGTGCACAAATTCTTGCACCAGAACCCTCTCTATGTTAGTTCCACCACTGATCAGATTTGCATCACATTTATGATTCATTGCTCGACACCAAATAGCATTTACACAACAATCCTATTGTTAGCCAATAGTGGTGTAGAGCTGTGATTTAGAGTAATAGGGTATAGCATAACTCTAAAGGGTACATACCTTTTTGTAGTATTTTTCAGGCGCACCTTTACTGTCTAGTGGGAACTTTACACATTCACTCACAAAATTATTTCAGTTTTGCAGTTCGGACAAGTGAAGCTCTCCTGCAGCTAATAATATAGAATAAGATGCAATATATATCTATTTTATTTTTAGCAGCACAGGCACAGTAGTATTTTGCTACCCCCCCAAAAAAAACACAGGGGTTAAGTCCACCTTATTCCTGGTGGAAAGGGGCTTTAGATGGGGACACATGGGCTCTAGAAGGGGGTCAGGGGCTGTGGTGTGGGATAGAGTATGTACAAGGGGGGACAAGGTCTGTGGGGGGCTGTAGAGGATGACACACACAGGGGCTGTAGAGAGGAGAGACACAGGGCTGTAGAGGGGGCACAGGGGCTGTAGAGGAGGGGGCACAGGGGCTGTCGAGGGGGGATACACAAGTGTTGTAGAGGGGGTGACACAGGGGCTGTAGAGGGGGACACAGGGGCTGAAGACGGGGATACACCGGGGCTGAGGGTAGGACACCAGGGCTGTGGGGAGACACAGGGGCTGTAGAGGGGGAGCACAGGGGCTGTGGGACACAGACAGGGAATGTAGAGCGGTGGACACAGGGGCTGTAGAGGGGGGCTCAGGGGCTGTAGCGGGGGGACACAGGAGCTGTAGAGGGGGGACAGGGGCTATAAAGGGGGCACAGGGGTTGTAGAAGGGGGAACACACAGGTGCTGTAGAAGGAGGGACACAGGGGCTGTAGAGAGGGGACAGGACACTGAAGACGGGGGGCACAGGGGCTGTAGGGACACACACAGGGGTTGTAGAAGGGGGACACAGGTGTTGTCGAGAGGGGATACGCAGGAGTTGTAGAGGGGGTGACACGGGGGCTGTAGAGGGGATGACACAGGGGCTATAGAGGGTGGACACAGGGGCTGTAGAGGGGAATACACCGGGGCTGTAGAGGGGGGACACCAGGGCTGAAGAGGGGGAACACAGGGGCTGTAGAGGGGGGACACAGGGACTGTAGAGGGGGGCACAGGGGATGTAGAGCGGGGGGCACAGAGGATGTAGAGGGGGCACAGAGGCTATAGAAGAGGGTGTAGGGGCATAAAAGGGGGAGCATGTGCTGTAGCGTGGGGGGTATAGACTGTAGAGAGAGGGATATGGGCTGTGCTGGGGGGCCAAAGACTGTGGTGGGGGGCACAGGGGCTATAGAAAGGGCAAGCAGGGGCACAGGGGCAATAGAAGGGGTGGGTAGGGGCACAGGGGCAATAGAAGGAAAAGGCAAGGGCTGTAGAAGGGAGGGTACAGGGGCTATAGAAGGGATCCTGATGATGTCGGGGGGGAGGATGGGCGTGACTTCCACTGCTCTTCTCCCAGACTCCCCCGCAGATTGCTGGGGACTGGAGTCTGTAGAAGAGCAGTGGAAGTCACGCCTCCTCCTCCTAACATCATCAGGAGGGGCCGACTAACTCCCCTGGCTGCTCTGTTTTGGCTGACTGCAGGGAGGCAGCAGGTAAGCAGAGAGTGGATTTGAATTTTTGCACAAAATTTGCACAGGCATGTGAGCTCTATGACTATCGACATTTATACCTACAGAACCTCAACTCAAAAACAAAACAATCAAGAGCAGACAAACTCACTTTTTTCGTCCAGAAAACAAATCCTGCTCCCAAGGCTGTTCCTTCTGCAATAAAAGATGGCAACGACGGGTCCAATGCAAGCAACCCAGCTCCTTATCTTAAATACCTACAGCCCTGTGAGCAACTCATTAAAAGCATATCTGGCTCCCTGGAAGCTTTATCCTGTAAGCTGATTAACACCTGGCAGCATATGATGGATGCTTTGCGAAACGACGTCCAAGGATTTGGCGCATGGACATTACATGTGGAAAACAAATTGGATGGTTACGTAACAACTCACAAGGATCTGGTAGATTATGTGCAAGCATTTGAATAACAAGTGGAAATCATGGAGGAACAATCATGAACATGGAGGACAGAGCGAAGAAATAGAGGAGTCTCCGAAACCATATTAATGATAGACTTACCTGTCTATGTCCATGGCCTGCTTCATGCCCTATGCTCTGGAGGTGCCTGCTGATATGCTCCTGATTGATAGAATTCACTGAGTCCCCAGATCATGCCATCTGCCAGACCAAGAGAGGTGTTTATTTGCTCTCAGTACTTCAACATCAACAAAACTTGTACTTAGAGCCTGTTGCAATAGGGCCCAACCACGAGAAGAAAGACCTTCCAACCGGTATCAGATACTTTAGTGATGCGGTTTTCCCCACAAAGCTGCTTGTCATACACAAAGCAATATAAAAGCAATGCAAATTCCCAGTGAACTTGCACTGTGAATGGGACCTACCTATCCTGCAACTTGAGAAACCAACGGCGCCTAAACACACGCTCTCCCTGGTAATGGCGCAATGCTAAAGTGGGACTGCTAGCTATGAAAATACCTCAAGTGAAACCTGCTGAGATCTAATTTTATTGTTATATGATTGGGTTAAACACTGACCTCCCAGATGTCAAGAATCACTATACAAACTATGTCATGATATACTCTCAAAATGCTTGGTAACTATTGTACACTTGTTTTAACTTGTGTATGCAATTTACCTGTGTATGCAATTCTGCTAAACTTGTTGGTTTTCATATTTGAATCTGCTCCTGAAAATTGCAATAATAATAAAAAAAAAAAAGATAAATAACATTTTTTTACTAGGCTACTTAAATTCACCTATCTCAGCATACAAAATGGGGATTCAGTTATTATCATTATTGCCATTTATATAGTGCCAACAGATTCCGTAGCGCTTTACAATATTATGAGAGAGGGGATGTAACTATAAATAGGATAATTACAGGAAAGCTTACAGGAACGATAGGTTGAAGAGGACCCTTCTCAAATGAGCTTACAGTCTATAGGAGGTGGGGTAAAAAACACACTAGGACAGGGATATCAATCAAATAAGGTGGGAGTGAAGCAGAGCTGGAGGAGAGAGAAAAGTGCTGCCCTATAGGAGAGAGCAAGAGACAGGTATGTGAGGTAGAGGTTACTCTGGGAGGCCATAAGGTTTCTTAAAGAGATGGGGGTTTAAGGCAATTCTTAAAGGATTGAAGACTAGGGGAGAGTCTGATGGGGGTAGGCAGGCTATTCCATAGGGAGGGAACCGCCCGTGAGAAGTCCTGCAAGCGCGAGTTGGCCATACGGGTGTGAGCAGGGGTCAGGAGGTGGTCACGGGCAGAGTGGAGGGAATAAGGAGGGGCATACCTATGGATCGGTGAAGAGATATAGGAGGGGCTAGAGTTGTTAAGAGCTTTATATGTATGGGTTAGCACTTTGAATTGACTCCTATAGGATACAGGAGGCCAATGTAAGGACTGACCGAGGGGTGAAGTGTGAGAGGACCGACTAGAGAGGAAAATCAGTCTGGCGGCAGCATTCATTACAGACTGTAGCAGGGGGCATACGGCTCTTGGGAAGACCAATCAGGAGAGGGTTACAATAATCCATGCAGCAAATTACTAGAGCATGGACAAGCAACTTGGTAGCATCTTTTGTAAGAAAGGGGCGGATGCGGGCTATGTTTTTAAGTTGGAATCTACAGGATTTGGCAACAAACTGGATGTGAGGCTCAAAGGTGAGGCCAGAGTCAAGTATGACGCCAAGACAGCGCGCTTGCAAGGATGGACTTATGTGGATACCACTGACTTAAAGGGAGAGCGAGAGAGGAGGATCAGTATTAGGAGGAGGAAACACAAGGAGATCAGTTTTGGAGAGAATGAGTTTCAGAAAGCGGGAGGACATTCAGTCAGAGATGGAAGAAAGGCAAGCAGTGACACGTTGCAGGACGGCAGGGGAGAGGTCCGGGAGGAGAGATATATTTGAGTGTCATCAGCGTATAGATGGTAGTGGAATTCAAAAGAGGCAATACGTTTGCCAAGAGAGGCAGTATAAAGCGAAAATAGAAGGGGACCAAGGACAGTGCCTTGGGGAACTCCAACTGAGACAGGACGAGCGGGGGAGGTATCCTTGGAAAAGGAGACACTGAATGAGCGTTGGGAGAGATAAGAGGAAAACCATGAGAGGACAGAGTCACAGAGACCGAGCGACTGAAGAGTTTGAAGGAGGAGAGCATGATCAACTGTGTCAAAGGCATCAGAGAGGTCAAGAATAATTAATATGGAGTAGTGGCCTTTGGATTTAGCTGCGATTAGGTCATTAGTAATTTTGATAAGAGCAGTCTCAGTAAAGTGGAGAGGTCAGAAGCCAGACTGAAGAGGGTCAAGGAGAGAGTTGGAATTGAGGAAGCAAGACACATGGGTAAAGACAAGTATTTCCAGAAGCTTTGAGGAAAAAGGGAGAAGGGATATGGGATGATTGTTAGAAGGGGAGGATGGGTCAAGAGATGTTTTTTTCAGGATAGGTACTACAGTGGTATGTTTAAGGTCAGTAGGGACAATGCCAGAAGAGAGAGAGCAGTTGAAGATGTGTGTTAGTGAAGGCACAAGACAAGGGGAGAGAGATCTGATGAGGTGAGATGGGGCAGGATTGGGCAAACAAGTGGTGGGGCGAGAGGAAAGGAGAAGCGCAGCCACCTCTTGTTCAGCAGCTGGGGAGAAAGTCATGATCTATGTGTGGTTGAGAAAGAGAACGGCAGGGTGGGGAGAATTATTTCCTTAGCTGTTCAATCTTGTTGGTAAAGTAACATGCAAAGCTATTGGCTGTAAGGTTAGTTTGGGGGGTGGCCACAGCAGGGCGGAGAAGAGAGTTAAGGGGGGGAAGAGACACCTGGGATTGAGGGAGCATGAACTAATGAGAGAGGAAATATATACACATTGTATGGCCATATTGTGTGAAGCCCACCACTACGTCACAGAACCCCAATATTGGTGGCTCCTACTCTGCTAACTTGCAATAGTTACAGTTTAAACTGCTTTCAGAGACTCCTCAATGTATGCTTTGCTGTGGTCATCTCCAAAGGGGCACCCATAGAGCTCTGTTATACACTCAGACACACCAACAATATGGAGCTCCTAGAAAAGAGGGACATTGGGATAGAAAACACGGACAGAGGGATTTGGGACAAAAAAAGGGACTGCCTCCTAAATAGGGACACTTGGGTGTTATGGTAATTATTTTGGCTCTGCATTTTGGACATGTGGAAATCTCCTGCTCCCATGTCTGTAAGCGCTGAGAATAGAATGGGATCTAATATTTAATGTGAAGGATTATTCGAATAAACTAAACTGAGTGGGCAAACACTGAAGCTTTATTACTAACCTGAATTATAGTAAAGTATACAATATCATATAATGTCTCCCTCTCTGACTCTCTCTATCTCTCCTCTCGGGTAAATAACGTATAATATATAAGGGGACAAACCTTGTTTGCAGTATTTTCCGGACGCTCCTTTCTTGCAGCCATTTTGCTGAACTTTGTATTTTTACTTATGTTATAATTTCAGTTCTGCAGATAGGGCAGGTGGAAGCCTCCTCTAGCCACGTCAGGATGCACACAGAATGGAATATGTGGTTACATTGCAGCTGCATGATGTCCTCCTCAGGGTTATAACCACTCATGCATATACAGCATTGCTCTTGCTTATCATCTCTCTGAGATACCTGTGGAATTGGCTGGGGAGGTTCATTAGCTTGTGCAGGCTGCTGTTCTCCTTCGTTAGCTCCTGTAAGAAGCTGTAGGACCTCATTATTTGGTATTAGAGGAGGCTCGTGGCCATCTACAGCTTGGGCAATCACAGGTTGAGGAACAGGCAATGGCTGGTGAATCCCTTCAAGGTTCCCATGTGGCTGGTTTTCAGCATATTCCACTTCACCAGCATTATCTGCTATGATAGGAGGTGGCACTACATTTCTGTTTAAGCGGGATCTGCTTCTCCATGGTCTTTGTCTAGCTTCTCCTACATCTACACTTACAGATCTGTTACGGCGCCTTCCTGATCTGCCACTTCCTTGTACATTATTCCTGGTGGGATGTCCTGCTGGGGCCCGAGGACTTCGGATTCTCCCATCCCTCCTTGCTTCTTGCCTTGCAGAAGGTATCCGTGATCTGTTTCTTCGGGGAATATCATGCCTCACCCGAGACCCTAATGATAAAATTACAATTAAAGGGTTAGTCCAAGCACTATGATCACTTATTGTTTTGAAATGGTTATGGTGCAAGGAGTCTGTATGTGCAGTGTTTCAGTAAATCCACCTCCTGCCGCATCATTAGCCAGCCAGAACGAGAGTTCCAGCCTGTTAATGATAAAACTATGTGTAAAAAAGTCAGTCTTCAGGAGTCAAGGTGCCGGGAGACCTTGTCTAAGCATTGGGTTGAATGTTTTCTTTTATTTATTTTTTAAAATTAAGGGTGAGGTGTGCTAGCAATGGTTACTTCAACCAGAAACAGTGTTTTATTAAAGTATTTAACTAACTGGGAATAATAAAACATACAAAATATTAATGAAGTCTTCAATGACTAACTTAAAATTAAATCTCAGGGCTACTGACCATTTCTCACTCCAATTTGTGTTAAAGATCCTATGGACCTGTAATGTGTGGATAACTTGAAAAAAGGGGACAAGTGAAGTAGTCAAAAAAGGATCTTAAAGGGAAAAGATGCAATGCCCACCCAGAATCCTTAAGCAAACCAGTAACCAACCTCATGCTAATGAGTTGCATTAACAATGAAACAGCTGTCCATGAGTGGTTCACTGGCTTTGCATCTTTTCCCAAGTAGTGTTTCAAAGCTGTTGTATACAGCAAACACAGACTCAAAGGAATCCATGTTTAAGATGGAATGAGGCAAAAATGTGATTCTTTGTTAAACTAATTTACATATGCCCACCCAGAATCCTTTGCGGTAGTAACATCACTGCAAATTTGTGATTTCTGTGGGAAAAGCAAGTCTTATGGCTTGACTGGTGTGCAGATTTTTGTTTAACATTGTATTAACTATCCACAGACTTCAGGTGGAAGTGGTTTTCAATCACTATTTTTCCCCACCATAATCTTTTTTGGTATTTGCTTCGTGAGTAAAAATAGTATAGATATGTAGCTATCACTTACTTGTTCGGGGTGCTTCTTCACTTATATTGTGAACCCTTGGGTTCCTTCTCCTTTGCCCACGGTCCATAATCAATCAAGAAACCAATAAATGTTCACTTCAGTGACGTACAATGACAATCGCTGTACACTACCACAAGTGAATGACAATCGCTGTACACTACCACAAGCTAACTTGAGCACTGTGCAGTTAATGCTACAGAGGGTAACATGCATGGGGTTTCATAACTAACCCAGATGATGTCATAGAACACTGGTTATTACACTGCTTGTCTAAATATGGCAAGCAACTGATGGAAATTGAATTGGTTTTATAATATTGTCTATATGTCCCTATATCCACTGGAGAGTTTATTCACTAAACTGAATATCATACTTTTGGCCAAAATAGGCAAGTTGGAAAAATTCTTAAATTCAACTATGATTTCATCTTGGTTAATCTGGCTTAATATCGTAATTTTCCTGGTGAATTAAACTCATTTAATGCTTTAAGCTAGAGACTAACCCTGGAGGTTACAATATTTAACTTACTATGTGTATTTACCTATGATATTAGTAACACACCTTTACTAAATCACAGTGTATTTAATGGCTCACTGAGTGCCGTGCTTTATAACACTAATCAAGTCTCTTTACCCTTATATTTATTGTCATTTATTCTGAATTTAGTGCATTAATCCCCTAACAGTTCTCCTATTTTCCCTCCATTCTATGGCATCCTTTGAATGACAGGCTATCTTTCTACCTTCATACTATCTCTGTTGTAGCTGCTGTTGTAGTTTTAATGTCATGCTTTTAGTGTTTGGATGTGTCTCGTTCATCTTCCCTGTACAACGTGCAGTTGTCCTAACGTACACTGTAGCCTAGTTTGTTGTAGATTAGAGAACTGGTTGTTGTTGTTGTTATGTAGGTATCACCTAATAGCCTTCTTTTAGGGTAGGCTTGTAAATCTCACACATGTGAGAATCAATCAAGAACTTAGACATCAAAGTGTTCAAAGAGGATTTTAGAAATAGACAAGAAATAAAACATTTTGAAGCCAGATTTATTAATTGTTTAACATCAAGAATAGTGTACTAAATGTTGATTCAGGTTTCCTGTCCCTTAACCAAGGTTTTACATGACCCCCCTCTCCATTATTATCTTATCCCATATATGTATCCAATTGTTAAGATGCATTTTAATGAAATGTTTATTATTATTATTATTATGCATATATGGTAATGTGTAAACATATACTTTCCTATTCTTAGATGCATGTAGGTATACATGTATATGTAGAAAAAGGACAAAGGGTATTAGCGCTAATACAAAGATATTAAACTTTTTTTTTTTTTTAAGAGTATAATCTCCAAACAGTATATGTAATAATAGCAGCTGACACCAAGAAGTGCGACTTCTCCACAAACACCAACAAGATATAAAAGATGCAGAAGTGTAGCGCTTTTAAATACGAAAGGTTTACCTTAATAACAGTGGTTATGGTAGTTTTACAAAGTTACCATTTTTCAGACCTAAAATAGACGCAAATAATACCATATGGTGCAGTTTATAAATAAAAAGATAGTAATGATAAAGTGGAGTTTAGAAATAAAACACTCACAAACAAGGAGATATAAAACCTAGCTCCAGTGTGGATCGCTTCTGGGACCGTTTAGGCGACCCACCCCTATATGGAATGTGTGTTCCGTCCTAAGGGAAAGTATATAGACACACAATTGGGTAGTACAGTAAGGTTAAGGAATATATGGGAATAAGTGCCAATTGAGTACTTACCAACACAGAGCCCCTGTGGTAGCATGTTGTGTAGGTATAGGGCTACACTGCCCCTTTAAATAGGTGTAAGAACAATGTCCATTAAAAAAATATACCGGTAAACGTTTCACCACTAGATGTGGCTTCCTCAGCCGGATCAGCGTTGTGAAAGTTCTTGGTTCCTAGCTTCTGCTTATATACCCACCTAATTGGGGAATTTTCTAGTAGTATGTAACTTATCTGCATAAAGATAAAAAAAAAAAACCCACATAAAACAGATCGGCGGACACTCTCACCCGGAGTGCCGTCAGATTAAAATTATCTTGAGCTGTAGCTGTAACTTCCTTGTGTTCCAAGCCTCGCTCTCGGGGCGTGACGTCAGCAAGCCTCTCAGCTTGACAGTTACTGTTCATTCCGAATTTGTATCCATATGCTTGTAGCCGTTTTCTGTAATGTTCATATTGCACAGTGTTATTAGTCAGATTTTCAGTGCGGTCCAACAGATAAAGCCTTGAAAGTCTCTCCATAAACAAACATTAGGTAATACAAGGGGATATAACAATATAAAAGAGGAATTAGTTATATACATCTTAATAGAGTTCCTATAATACTTATATCTACAATAATCTATTGGATTAATATCCATGTTAAAGTGACTATTCACCATTAGTGATAAACTTTAATAGGACATAAAAAGACCTTTAATATATTTCTTTCCCGTGATAGTGATTCCTTTCCCTTATACATAAAAAACGTAAATAGTTAAAATAATTTAATATAGGTTTTTCTTTTATACAGGCTATTTTCAAACTTGTTTTTATAATTCTTTACCTCTGTGTTTTTCAATATATACTTCTTTAAATACCGTATTTTTCGCTCCATAAGACGCACTTTTTTCCCCCTCAAAAGTGAGGGGAAATGTCTCTGCGTCTTATGGAGCGAATGTGAAGCTTTACTTACCTGTTTTGGAGCGTGGGCCGGCTTCACAGCGCGCTCCGCGGTTCAGGAACTTCTATTTCAGGTGCACACTTCCTTTCAGTCCCGCCGGAAACCGGAACCTGAAATAGAAGTTCCTGGACCGCGGAGCGCGCTGTGAAGCCGGCCCACGCTCCAAGACAGGTAAGTAATTATGGGACAAGGGGAGGGGGAGACACTATGGGACAAGGGGAGGGGGGGAGACACTATGGGAGAAAGGGAGGGGAGACACTATGGGACAAGGGCAGGGGGGGACACTATGGGAGGGAAAGTGCACTATGGGACAAGGGGAGGGGGGACACTATGGGATCAGAACACTAATGGACAAGGGGAGGAGGGGTTAAAGAACACTATGGGACAGGGTAGGAGGGGTTAACAATCACTATGGGACAGAGGAAAGGGGGGTTAAAGATCATTATGGGACAGGGGAGAAAAAAAAATATTCTGAACAAACTGTCCCATGGTAAGAAACACTATGGAACAGTTTGTTCAGAATATTTTTTTTTCTGGGTTTCCTCCTCTAAAAACTAGGTGCGTCTTATGGTGAGGTGCGTCTTATGGAGCGAAAACTACGGTAGTTAAAAATAAAAAACATATATTAAAAATGTGATATCCAAAAAGAAAAAAAAAATCAACTAAATGTTGATTTTGGTTTCCTGTCCCATTATCAAGGTTTTACATGACCCCCCCTCTCCATTATTATCTTATCCCATATATGTATCCAATTGCTAAGATGCATTTTAATGAAATGTTTATTATTATTATTATTATTATTATGCATATATGGTAACGTGTAAACATATACTTTCCTATTCTTAGATACATGTATATGTGTATATATATATATAAAAGCAAGTCTTCTGACTTGCCTAGTGTGTGTATTTGTGTTTAACATTGCATTAACTATCCACTTACTTCAGGTGGAAGGGGTTTTCATCCACACTTTTTT